GTAGCTGGGAGCCCTGGAGTTGAGCGGGTCCCTGCTGTAGAGGGGGTCCATGGACTAGAGCGGCCCCCCGGAGTATGGGGGTCACCTGGGCTATGGAGTAACCCGGGAGTAGGGGGGAAGCCTGGGAAGTCATCTACAGGCAGCTGAGGTGGAGAGAGGTGTTGTTGTGGTTTGCGTGTATAGCCACCATCAGACTGTTGCAAAGAACGTCCTGCTTTTTCTTCTTTAAAAGGGTTAAATGGACTTAGTGGTAACAAATCTAAAGAGACGTCAAAGGGGGAGGGAGAAAGCCATGCATCGGCCAACAAAGCGGAATCGCTACTAAAGCTTTCTTGTATTTGTTCCGCAGTTTCATCAAGCTGTGTGTAATCTTCTTCTTCGTCTTCGTCTAAGAGAGCCTCAAGCCTAGTTCGCTTTACAGGGGGGGGAGAAGAATGCCCAGAATCAGGCTGCTCCCCGCTCACGTGTACCGGTGCATCTATACGCTGCAGAAATTCTGAAGGGGACACCGGACCTGCTGCTTCGTCGTGCTGCTGCACCGGACCTGCTGTTTCGTCTTCTATTTTGAGCTGCTCCTGCTGCGAAGTCTGATGGGAAACGGAACGCCGAGGTACTGGAGGGCGGTACCGAGGAATGGGTATCCGCCCTTCTCTGTCAGCAGATGAACCGCCATGTTGCGGAGGGTGCCCCCCTTCACTAACTGCAACAGCAGCAGATGGAACCAGCAAAGCGTGTACCCCTGAAGTCCCCTGTACCTGGACCTGAAGGAGAGAATGGGGGACTGGGCCCGTAAGCGGCGTCACAGTTGGATACACATATGATGCGGCTGTGTGTTCAATCGTCTGCATATGTATTGCTGTAGACGGCAGCGCCTGCTGCTGCACCGGTAGCGCCTGCTGTTGCAGCGGCAGCGCCTGCAGTTGCAGTGGCAGTGCCTGCTGTTGCAGCGGCATCACCTGCTGCTGCAGCGGCGGCACCTGCTGTTGCAGCGGCAGCAACTGCTGCTGATGCACCGGTAGCGCCTGCTGTTGCAGCGGCAGCACCTGCTGCTGCTGCAGCTGCAGCGCCTGCTGTTGCAGCGGCAGCACCTGCGGCTGCACCGGCGGCGCCTGCTGTTGCAGCGGCAGCACCTGCTGCTGCAGCTGCAGCGCCTGCGGCTGCAGAAGCAGCCACTGCACCTGCGGCGCCATCTGCTGCTGCAGTGACACCAGCTGCTGTGCCGATTGCACTTGCAGCTGCACTGGCTGCAGTTGCAACACCTGCTGCTGCAGCGTCTGCAGTTGCAGCACCTGCCACTGCACCGCCTGCACTTGTGGCGCCTGCTGCTCCACAGACGGTGCGCGCGACTGTGCTGGCGACGGATTCAGCTGAGTATCCCGCTGACTTTGCGTCCGCGGCTGGAGCCGCGGAAGCTGCCGCGGCACCTGCTTCTGCTGCAACGGCCTGCCCTGCTCTTCCAGTCCCTGCAGCTGCTGCTGCGGCTGCCCCTGCTGCCAGGCTGCTCCCTGCGGCTGCTGCTGCGGCTGCTGCTGCGGCTGCTGCTGCGGCTCCTGCTGCTGCTGCCCCTGCTGCCACGCTGCTCCCTGCAGCTGCTGCTGCGGCTGCGCCTGCTGCCACGCTGCTCCCTGCAGCTGCTGCTGCGGCTGCGGCTGCCCCTGCTGCCACGCTGCTCCCTGCAGCTGCTGCTGCGGATGCGGCTGCGGCTGCCCCTGCTGCCACGCTGCACCCTCCGGCTGCTGCTGCGGCTGCTGTTGCGGCTGCGCCTGCTGCCACGCTGCTTCCTGCGGCTGCTGCACGAGTGGTTGAGCGTCAGGAGGCTGCAGTAGGTCGGGACTTGACTCCTCTAATTCCAAACACAGCTGAACGATTGCAGCAACATCAGGATCGTCTTCTGGAGATTGAGGGCTAAGTTCGCCTCCAGCCATCCGCCTGGTTGTAGTACCTCCTTTCAACCGTGAAGAAGAAAAGTGGTAGCTGGCGCATCTTGCAACAAGAAAAATAACTGCAAGAACGACGGAAAGGAGAATCGGTTTCAGTCGATAAAACGCCGAGGCGGCAGACGAGGACGACTGCCTCGACGCTACTGTGGTTCTCACATGCCCTTCTTTCCCCCCTTCTTTCTTATTATAATGAACATCAAAATCTAAGCCGTCAAATGGAGAAACAGTTGGCGTCTCGTCCTGCGCCTCGGGCGGCAAAAGTTGCATCGGCACGCACGTCTGAAACCAAAGAGGAACAACTTCCCTTTCTCAGCGAATGTCAATGGAAACACTCCTCTATCCGGTAAACGTTTCAATGAAAGCATTTGATATGTTTTGTTTGACCAATTAAAACGAATGTTTTGGAGGAAAGTCCGCTGAGAATGATGCCTTCGCTGTATTCACACTACCAAGATCCGGTCGATTCCATTAAGCAATGGAGGATGAGCTATCGATAGACGAGATAAGGCAAGAAATTCATGAACCGCCACAGAGTAAAACGACATTAATGCGAAAATACAGCAAACAAATATGGTGAAATTCGGAGACCTAGTGACAAATAACAAGTCTTTTACGATGTTGGCGGTTCTTGCAGCCGCCAGCAGCACGCGTGTTTACAGGGAGGCGACCCACTAGTTGCGGCATGGCTTGTCTAATGTTGAAACTACCCCAACTATTACAATGATGCTGAGGAGAATATAGCAATTTGATTGCTGTTTCCGGCGACACTCGTGCATGCAGTAATGAAGAGTTGTTGAGTCCTGGGCCAATGTGGGGTTGCTCTGGCTGCTGCTTGCAGCACGAGCTGCAGCACAAGTATGCTGCAAGTGAACTCATGAGAATGTGTGCATCCGCTGCCCCTTATCTACAGCAACAAACAATTTTTGTCACAGTTATGAAGTATTTTAAAGGGGCGAAGTCGGCGATCTCTGCACACGCTGACATTGCAGGCATTTACTGAACAAGTGCCTCCAATGTGAGCACGTGTAGGCTCGGTTGTAGCACGCTCTATTCAAAAACAACAACCCTACTTCTACTTGCATGCAGACTGCCTACGAATGACCCAGTAAACGTTCAACAGTGGTCTGCAGCGTCAGTGCTTACAGCAAAGAGGGATTGAGCGTGCACCCATGCGGTGCTGCCTCACACGACTAGCAGCGGGGTCCGTGCGACTCGTTTCACGCTGTTCCTCTCCCTTGGCCCCAGGCCGTTTAGCGGCCTCTTCCAGGGCTCCGGGGCTGGATGGGACGTCAACTCTTTCTGCGCAGTGCTTATGTTCAGTATTTTCCTCCGTTATTATTTACACTG